GCCTCAAAAAACAAAACAAAACAAAACAAAACTTAATATAGAGCTATGGTAATCAAAACTGTGGCATTGGCATAAAGACAGACATAGATATCAATGGAATATAACTCAGCATATGGAAGCAAACCCTTATATTTATTGCCATTTGATTTTCTATAAACTTACCAAGGCAACTCAAAGGGGGAAAGAACAGTTTTTTCAACAAATAATTCTGGGATAATTGCTTATTCACATACAAAGGTTAATTTAGTCCAGTGGTTTTCAATGGGAGGAATTTTAACCCCCAGAGAACATTTGGCAATGTCTGAAGATAAATTTCGTTGTCATGATGAGGGGTAGGGATGCTACTGGCCTCTAGTGGGTAGAGGCCAGGGATGCTGCCAAATATCCTGCAATGCACAGGGCCGACCCCCACAATGAATAGTGAGCCAGCCCAACAACATGTCAATAGCACCAAGGCTGAGGTGAGAGGATTGCCTGAGCCCAGGAGTTTGAGGCTGCAGTGAGCTATGATTGTGCCACTGCACTCCAGCCTGGGTGACAGAGAGGAAGGAAGAAAGGAACCAAGGAAGGAGTAGGGAGGGAAGGAAGGAAAGAAAGAATGAAGTGAGGGAGGGAGGGGAGAGGGAGAAGAAGGAAGGAAGGAAGGAAGGAAGGAAGGAAGGAAGGAAGGAAGGAAGGAAGGAAAATCGTGGTTCAGGCCAAGCACAGTGGCTCCTGCCTATAATCCTAGCACTCTGGGAGGCTGAGGCAGGAGGATTGCTTGAGCTCAGGAGTTCAAGACCAGCTTAAGCAAGAGGGAGACCTCTGTTTCTACTAAACATAGAAAAAATTAAGTGGGTGTGGTGGTACACACCTGTAGTCCCAACTACCTGGGAGGCTGAGGCAGGAGGATTGCTTGAGCCCAGGAGTTTGAAGTTGCTGCGAGCAAGGCTGATGCCATGGCACTCTAGTCTGGGCAATAGAGTGCGACTCTGTCTCCAAATAAATAAATAGTAAAAAATAAAATCACGGTTCAGGTCTGTATAAATAGGCAGCAATTAGGAAGCTCATAATGACAAATAGGTCATGTTCTACATAAACAGTGGGTTTAAGCAGGAACATTCCCCCATCAGTAGCAGCCTTAAACCTAGCACTTCAGAGCTCCGAGGGCAGGTGGGGTGAGCTAAAGGGAGCCATGGATTCCACTATCAGTTCTGGCCTCTCCCCAGGTGACACCTCTTGTTTTTTTTTTTTTTTTTGAGACAGAGTCTTGCTTTGTTGCCCACACTAGAGTGAGTGCCATGGCGTCAGCCTAGCTCACAGCAACCTCAAACTCCTGGGCTCAAGCAATCCTCCTGCCTCAGCCTCCCGAGTAGCTGGGACTACAAGCATCCACCACCATGCCTGGCTAATTTTTTCTATATATATTAGTTGGCCAATTAATTTCTTTCTATTTTTTTTTTTTTTAATAGTAGAGACGGAGTCTTGCTCTTGCTCAGGCTGAACTCCTGACCTTGAACAATCCTCCCGCCTTGGCCTCCCAGAGTGCTAGGATTACAGGAATGAGCCACTGTGCCCGGCCAACACCTCTTGTTAAGTCACCTTTAGAAGACTGTAAATCTTCCTAAGGAAAGGCAAGACCCATTCTGAAAAAATAAAACAGTAAATTTGAGAAGGGGATCAGGACTCAAGGCAGCAAGAGAAAAAGGTAAATGATTATCTTGTGTTTTCAAAAGGGCAAAAAACTTTACTATGAATAAAACATGATTAACAATAATGGGAACCATTAATAATGGAACATGTCCTCAATTTCAAATATTTATCATTTTTTTAAAAAAATAACAATGTCCTCACAATTATTCTATTACACCACATGGATTAGAAAGAAGCCAATCTTTCTGTGTCTGACAGTCTGTGCTCTGGTGAAGGTGGGGCAAGGCTTCTCTAGACTGAGAGGTAGTCCTACAGATTCTAAAGACAAATCCTGGAGCTTCTATTGGTCATAAACAGAACCTCAAAGTGGGATGACAAGTGAAGAGGAAGGAAAGAGTCTTCCTGAAACTGAGAACTCCAGGATGGTGCTTCAAAAGTGTTTTCTGAAAAACAAAGTTCTCCTTATTAGTGATGGACCTGCTGATTAGCTAGTTATTTAAGAAAAAAAGAAAAGTATCCTTTGGCCGCCCATTTGGCCCCAGACACCTTTGGAAGGCAGCTATGTGCACCACTATCCCACCAACACCACTTCCCAAGCACCTTTGGTATAGCTGCGCATCGGGTTTTAAAAGGAGATCATCGAGGATTACTCAGATCACTTTCTGGTCACTGGATTTCCATGTTACCAGAAAAAAGTCCCACATCTTTTTGGAACATTTTTGCACTAATGTATTCTTGAGCCACAGCAATAGCATTGTCACAGATAAGACAAAGTTACAAACACTGGAGAATGAGACCATGGACCAGGTAGCCAATGTCACTGATTATCTATTGTTCTTAGGTGTGACTGGAGCCACATCATATGAGCAAGAAAACCCAAGAGTATTAACGTTATCATCAAGTAAAACTTACAACAAAGTTCATGCATTTGATGATAGTCATAATGCTTCGTCTTCCTTCAAAGTCCTTGATCATGAATGGTGGTAAGTGGCTCAAAAACCGACATCTAGTTGATACTGTTCTTATGTCAGAAAACAGTTTTTCTAAGTTGGGAAACTTAAAAGAAGAGCATTTAGTGGGGCAGGAAGCTGCCTTCTAGTTTCTGGGGAAACAGACTTAGAATATGTGGAAAAGAATGGCTCAAGGGGTGGCAGTAAAAAAGAGGAGGAGAGTGGTCAGGGAAGAGGGGAGCAACCTGAACAGAGGTGGTCACGGGTGCCCAGGACAGGCTGCCCTGTGAAATGCTGTGACAAGTGCAGGGCAGAGTGCAGGGACTCTGCAGGGCTCACACATTTCACCGTGAGGACGTCAACTGTGAACTTTAAGAAGACATCTCAGTAAAGCAGAGCAGCAAGACTTGATGTATTTTTTCAGCAAGTATTCTCTGAGTGCCCAAAGTGCTGGCGATGGTCTAGACGGTGGTGGGCACCTGGCAGCCAAGAAGTAAGGATTTAGGCCAGGTGCGGTGGCTCACGCCTGTAATCCTAGCACTCTGGAAGGCCGAGGTGGGCAGGTTGCTCGAGGTCAGGAGTTCAAGACCAGCCTGAGCAAGGGTGAGACCCCGTCTCTACTATAAATACAAAGAAATTAATTGCCCAACTAAAAATATATAGAAAAAATTAGCCGGGCATGGTGGCGCATGCCTGTAGTCCCAGCTACTTGGGAGGCTGAGGCAGAATATTGCTTAAGCCCAGGAGTTTGAGGTTGCTGTGAGCTAGGCTGAAGCCCTGGCACTCCAGCCCAGGCAATAGAGTGAGACTCTGTCTCAAAAAATAAATAAACAAATAAATAAAAAAAGAAGTAAGGACTTAGTAGACTGTACAGTTTGTTGGTAAAGCTGGAGGAAAAAAGGAGATGGAAGGATAAACAGGATGAAGTGAGAAATTCTGTTTTAGCTATAGAAAGAACTGAGCACAATCATAACCAGCAGAGGAGACACTGTGAAGATTCAAGACTAGGGATATGAAGGAAATAGGAGGAGACAAGCTTGAGACCTTTGGAAAAGAGGAAAGAGAAGCAAAAGAAGAGAGAAAGAGACACTACCTGGAAAGACCCTCAGGCAGAAGGGAGGTAGGTGGGAGGGAAGCCGGTCAGTCCGAGGTGGCCGAGGTGGGCCTCGCTGCCAGTTTCTGCATCTGTAAATGGGGGAATGAGACCCACCCCGAAGAGTTTCTGCATGGACTAAAACAAGTTAGTGTAGATAGGACCTCTGGCAGAGCGCCTGGTACACGTAGCCTGCACCCAGGCAGCCTTTATTACACTTAAAAAACTGACAGGGAGGAGAATGTGGGTAGGTTGATGGGCCCAAAGCGAGTGAGGTTTGGAGGCGCCAACTGGCAAGTTTGGGGGAACTCGGTGGAGGAAAGCAGGGTGACAGCTAATGAAGGAATTCTTCCCTCTAGTAAGAAACATGATGGGGAGAGGTGAAGTAGAAGGGGAAGGAGACATTCCAGAGCCATTGACTCTACCTATTCATTACCTTCACTAGTCACACTCAGGCAGTAGGCTGAGGGGTGTGCTTAAGAAATGTCTTAGAACCCCAAATTTCTCCTCGGAGACTGTCTGGAATGATAAGAACCTAATATAAGCTAATAAATAAATATCCCTGAAGAAGGGGCAAGGAGAAACACTGTCAGTATTTCACACTTTTGAGTAAATCAGCCAGCCTGTTAGGGTTTTTTTTTTTGAGTGTGATTCTGAGGACTTTATTTCCTTTGTGGGCTACTGGACTCTGTGGAGATCAGTGAAGAAAGAGTGCAGAAATGAGAATAAGCGGTGTATATGGGGAGCTTGCTTGCCGTGCGTGTGCACCTGTGTGTAAATAAATAGCTAGACATTCCTTTCTTCTCAAGAGAGTCAGTGTCACCACTGCCACCGCCATCACCACCGAGGGCGCTTAAGGGTTCCTGGCCTGATAGTTGCCGGAGCGCGGTAGGGCAGGCTTGGCGGGATGGCCGACCCCCGGTGGCTATAAAGGTGGTGGGTGTGGCATCACCAGGGTCAAGCGCAGACTTGGAGAACTCCATCGCCCGGCCTAGAGAAAGGCTCCTTTATCATCTGGAGGCGAACTGACACCTTTGGATTTTTTTTTTTTTTTTTTTTGAGACAGCCTCACTCTGTTGCCCTAGAGTGAGTGCCGTGGCATCAGCCTAGCTCACAGCAACCTCAAACTCCTGGGCTCAAGTGATCCTTCTGCTTCAGCCTCCTGAGTAGCTGGGACTACAGAGATGCGTCACCGTGCCTAGCTAATTTTCTCTCTATATATTTTTAGTTGTCCAGATAATTTCTTTCTATTTTTAGTAGAGATGGGGTCTCGTTCTTGCTCAGGCTGATCTTGAACTCCTGACCTTGAGCGATCCTCCTGCCTGGGCCTCCCAGTGTGCTAGGATTACACGCCTGGCCTAGCCTGTTAGGTTTTATACCCAAGCTTGCCAAGGTGCTGAGGAAGCGAGAGCTCTGCTAAGTATGACCTAAGAAGAGAGGCCAGGTGTCCCCGGCTGGTGAGGCAGAATACTTTCACTCAGCAGGGAGGGTGGGCGGCTGCTCCCAGGGGTGCAGGAGCCAGGGGCTCAGGATATGCAATGAAGGATGGGAAAGGAGCTGGGAAGATGAAAGGGAGTTAAGAAAGGTCCCAAAGACAGCAGAAAGGTGGGCGTCAAACAGAAGAGTCCAGGGCTGCATGTCATACAAAGGAGAGCTAGAATACTTTCAGTCACCTGTGAGGCAGTCTGGCAGGAACCTGCCCATTAAGTTCTGCGCATTCCCTCGGAGCCTCTCCCCCTGAATCTCACACAGCATCTTTGCTAGTAAGACAGCCAGGAATTTCAAACTTTTAGGAAATAAAACGAACCTGGAAGGGATTTCACACATTATGCTGTTTAATCTCACTTACAGATTAGAAAATTGAGGCTCAGAGGGAAGTGACTGGTGCAAGGTCACACAGCAAACCATATGCTCAACCAGAATTACAGGATCCCGCCTTGCACCCTGCAGTCCCCAGCCATCTGCTCCACGAAACCTACGGCTTATCCAAAGAACACACAGGAACACAAAGCATGACTCCTCCTTTGGGGAAGTTAATGATTAAAACCTAGTGTGATATAAAGCATCTTAACCATAGTTACTAATTAAACCAATTTCAGTGAGAAAAGACATTTCAAACAGGAGAGTCAAGTGTTCTCTGAAGCTAAACCTAATAGGCCTCAAATTGTAGTGGCATAAACTATACAATTACAATATTTCAAGTATACTTAAAATATTTCCTAATATTCTAATCTCTGTAGCTTCATGTTTTCTCTTCATTGCATGTCACATGTTGGGCTCTGATAAAATGGTTTGATAACTTTTGGGGGGAGGAATTTAACTAAAATAACTTCACTTAGTGTTTGAGTGAACTGGGTAATAAAATCTGTTTGCTGTGTTCGCTGTCTCCAGATAGGGCTGTAATTATACCACATAAGGAAGAAAGGTAGCTGAGTTTCAATCTAGATCATTTATGTAAACTCAGCCTTCTTGTCAACGGTCTTCTCATATTGCATGTGTGCAAACCACAAAAATCATCTCCAATGAACCACCACACAGAGACAGTGTCTGATTGCAGGCCTGTGAGATTGCTTATATTCTTTCTGTAATTGGATGTCTGTGGTTCAACACCAAAATGTGACATTCTAAGGTTAAAAGAAAACTCTCACCAATGAATTTCCCAATACAACAATTATATTTCTGAAATGTGTAAAAATTAAAGGTATTTCCCTAAGTATTATAATTGAATACATTTCACTTGAAAAAAGTTCCTTTTTCATTAAAAAAATAAAATGTGTTTGAAAAAAAATCTGTTCTTTAAGAAAGAAAAACACAATTCCTAATATAACCAATTTAACATCTGACAACATTTTAATCTCCTACTTCAAATATTTGGCAACTTTTTAGCAATTTCTCTAAAAAAAAATCTTACAAAAACCATAAAGCACAAAATACATTCATATTGTATCTATACATACAGAGACATAATTGCAAGATGACAAATAAAGCATATTTTTCTTAATTAATTGAACTACTTTCCCTTATGACAAATTGGTCACTAGTTTTTTGATATGACGGTCCTCACTGGCTGGTATTGAGTGTTTCTCTTGACACCTGCAGCTTCCAGCTTGCTCCGTCCTCTCTAGAAGGAAAACCACAGGCCACCGCCCTGGCGCCATCCCTGGCTCGGTCCAATCAATAAGGACTTATTTCCTGTCCATTTGCTGAGGTCACAGGAGCGAATCTCATTAATTATTTCTGCTACTGCAGCCTCAAGTGTGCTTCTGGCGTGACAAGTGAAAACTGCTTGACCTTTTTTTCTTCTAATTTTGTTTGCAGCAGTTCCAAAAAGAAGGCAGCATTCGTTTAGTGATGTGATAAAAAAAAAAGGGAAAAAATGTATGTTTTTAAAGTCATTAACACATTTAGATATTTCACCATGAAAGCTCTCTCCATCACCTCATTCCCTAGGTTTTTCTGCTAATAAACAATAGTGTCTTTTTAATTTGGTGTCATGAAAATCTGGTCACAGCAAACACAATGTTTTCTAAAGCAGATCTGGCCTCCGAGGGAGGAAAGCTCTCCAGGGCCGCCAGTGCCTTGTTTCCATGGTAACGACACAGGTCAATAGCTGAAGTCACACCTTTGCCAGCTTTGATTGTTTCTCGCAACTGTTAAGAAACAAATGGACAAAAAAAGTCAGTTTTTAAGGTATGCAGTAAGCACCACAATTAAATTGGGGAAGGGAGGTGCAACACAAAGAAGAGGAGAAACAGTACAGATTCAGTATTTCTGCTACATTATATTGAGGAAAAGACGACATCATTTCCCAATGTTCTCCAGGCACGAATATTCCCTAAGGCTGCTTGGTGTCTGTGCTCCAGTGTAGCACAATAGGCCCCATCAGCCTAATTACACCTCCTCCCAACTCCCACCCCTTGATATCTTGAAATGTGCTGTGCTAGGGTGGCCATAACGAAGGTGAGGGCATTCTCATATCTGGCATTTTGAACTCTACAGCCTGGTAGTCTTATGTGAGGAAGGCTCACTAACATCTTAGTCAATAACTTTTTTTTAAACACCATATGTTGATACAGTAGTCCATATGAAAATTCAAGAAAGACACACAGTATTAGATCTGAATGCTATATTTATAAAACTAAAAGATCTTATTTGACTGGGAAGAATGAACTAAAACTCCCTTTGTAAAGAATAAAGTAGATGTTTGCTGACAAACGAAGTGGACTTTCAATTCTTCTCTTCAGTGATGGAAAAGGACCAATAAAGGGGTTATACTGTAGAGCTGAAAAAGACTTCTAATGATGTGGTCTGCCTACTTTCCCTCGCCCTGGGGCCATCTTCTCTTCCTCAGTGAAGGACTCCAAAGTCTGCCTAATTCTCTAAGCCGGAAACCTGGGAGGTGCCTTCACTCCCCACATGCAGTCAGGCACCCACGCATGAACTTTCTGGCTCCTAGAGATTGGGTGGGACCAGGTAGCAAGTTCTAGCCCGGAGTTAGGCAGGTGAATGATGCAGTCACTTCTGGGGTGCTGCATCTAACTGTCCGTGTGAGTCCCTCCAGGGCACTCCCTCTGGCCAGTCAACCCGCCACACTGGAGGTGCTCCCCAGCCCAGATCCCTGAGTGACCACCGTGAGCACTGCAATGTCTCTCCCGCCTGCCACCGACATGTAGTATGGGCAAGAATCTCAACTTTGTTGTGTTAAGCCACCAAGGTTGTGAGATTTACCTGTAGCTATTTTGACAGATACAGTCAGTAAATCCTGGTCATTCTATCTCCCTCAGAGCTCTCACATTTACCCTCTACTCTTCATTCCCATTGCCACTACATTAGTTCAGGCCGTCATCATCCCTCGCCTGGGTAATTTTTTGCAATCACTTCCTAAAGGGTCTTCCCATCACCAGTTCTGCACTCCTGGACTCCATCTGCCACGCTGCCAAGGAGATTTTTATAAAATGCAAATATGATCTTGCTTAAAACCCTTCATTGCCTTCCTAAGAGCCTTAAAAGTCCAAGCTCTTTCAGAAGGCATCGAAGTCCCTCCCAATCTAGCTCTTGCCCTGCCTCATTTCCCCCTCTCCCCCTTTAATCATGTATTTGGGGGAACTAGTTGCAGTTTTCTGGGGTGACCTACCATCTCCCCTGGGGCCATCCTCCCACACCCCAAGCTCCCCAAATTCCACCTAGGTGGAATGCACTCAGCAAGGATAGGATGACGGCCCAAAGGGGCCAGATGCCCCTCTTCCTGGAGGCACTGGAGTACCCTGTGCACACCTGGAGGACGGCATTGTATTTTGCTTCTCTATTCACTCACCTATCTCTTCATGGGATTTCAAGTTACTTACTGCATAATGCATGAAACATGAATGAATAAAAGAAATCAGCTGGCTTATTACTCTAATTATATAGTCAAGGGAATAGAGGTCCAGAGAAATTCGGGGACTCAAGATCATAGAAGGAAAGTGGCAAAGCCAGGTTTTTTTTTTTTTTTTTTTTTTGAGACAGAGTCTCACTTTGTTGCCCAGGCTAGAGTGAGTGCCGTGGCATCAGCCTAGCTCACAACAACCTCAAACTCCTGGGCTCCAGCAATCCTACTGCCTCAGCCTCCCCAGTAGCTCAGACTATAGGCATGAGCCACCATGCCTGGCTAATTTTTTTCTATATACATTAGTTGGGCAATTAATTTCTTTCTATTTATAGTAGAGACGGGGTCTCACTCTTGCTCAGGCTGGTTTCGAACTTCTGACCTCGAGCAATCCTCCCTCCTCGGCCTCCCAGAATGCTAGGATTACAGACATGAGCCTTGTTCGGTGGCACTTAATACTAAACTCCATCAGATTCTCAGCACACCACAGATTATTTCCACAATGCATATAAACTTTGGGAACTATTTCAGCCCAAGTTTCCTGGTTTCTTGCCAATCACTGAAGGCATGAAGGCACTAAAATGGGGCTGGGTATCAGAGGTAGTCAGACTGAGACTCCCATTCTAGCTTTATAATTGTAGAGAAGCCATCTAACTGTTCTCAGTCCTAAATGGCTTTCCTAAGATTATAAAGACTTCAGTCCCTTGTAGTTAGTACTACTGGTGGGGTGGGCAGGTGGAGGTGACTACATAATATAGCATAGAGTGCTTGATGGTGTCTAACTCACCATAGATGCTGGGATGACTTAGTCCTCTCTCCTCAAGCCTTTACTCATTGCCAAGAAAATTATCCCATCCACCAAGACTATTCTGGCTTGATACACAATATCCTGAAAGCTAGCTGGGATCAGAGCAGTCTTACAGAGAAAGAAAGAAATAAACGAAGAGAGAAAGAGAGAAAAAAGGAAAGAATATTTTCCTATTTTCATTACCTTTAATCTTTCCAAATCTAAATTAGGCAGGCCAACATTCTCTTCCTATTCTAGACTTCTAGATTGGCACCTGCAGGCATGTAAATATCTACATGACTAGATTAGATGTTTAAGTTATGAGTATTAATTGATCACCAACTATGTGTACAGAGTAGAATGATCCTCTGCTTTACAAATCTAAAGCTAATTAAGGATAAACTGTGAAATGCAGCAAAATCTAGGTACAAATGGAGGACCAGAGCTGTTGAGAGAAATGAGAGATCAACTTTAATAGGAAAAGATTCCAGAAGGCTTTACAGAGTAAGTAGAACTTGAGGCATGTCTTGTAAATGCTGATAAATAGATCCCGGGGATAGCAGGGGAATCATATGGAAAGAGAGAAGCTTGCGCAAAGGCATGACGGAGGCCAAACAGTGCAGAGTGTCCAAGGAATGAAAACAGCTTGCAGGGGTAGATGTCAGGCGACCCAAGCAAGTCTCTGAAAAACAGGCTAAGAAATTTATGCTTTTTTTTTTTTTTTTTTTTTTAAGACTTAAGGCATGAAATTTTATTTTTTTTTTTTTTGAGACAGAGTCTCGCTTTGTTGCCTAGGCTAGAGTGAGTGCCGTGGCGTCAGCCTAGCTCACAGCAACCTCAAACTCCTGGGCTCAAGCAATCCTCCTGCCTCAGCCTCCCGAGTAGCTGGGACTACAGGCATGTGCCACCATGCCCGGCTAATTTTTTCTATATATATCAGTTGACCAATTAATTTCTTTCTATTTATAGTAGAGACGGGGTCTTGCTCTTGCTCAGGCTGGTTTTGAACTCCTGACCTTGAGCAATCCGCCCGCCTCGGCCTCCCAAGAGCTAGGATTACAGGCGTGAGCCACCGCGCCTGGCCTAAGGCATGAAATTTTTATGCTTTTTTTATTTCTCAATTTTTTATTGCAAAGTATTCAAAAAGTATAGAAAAGATGAACTATGGCCCTGGGCTAAATCTGGCCCCCTGATTTTGTTTATAAAGTTTTGTTGGTGCTGAGCACAGCAATGAGTGTCCGTAGTCCCAGTCACTCGGGAGGCTGAGGTAGGAAGGACGGAGAATTTGAACCCAGCCTGGGCAACATAGTGAGACCCTGTGTCAACAAAAAAGTTTTGTTGGAACATAATCACGGCCATTCATTTGAGCATTGTCTATGGATGCTTCTGTGCTACAAAGGCAGAGCTGCAGAGTTGAGAAGTTGTCAGAGAGGCTGCAATAAAAAATATTTACACTTTGGCCTTTAGAGAAAAAGTCTGCTGACTCCTGGACTAGTACAATGAATGACCATATATTATCTACTTAGATTCAACAATTGGTAGTATTTTGTCATTTTTTGTTCCATCTATCTATATGTATGTTTGTGTGTGTTTTCTGAACCATTTGAAAGTAAGCTGCAGGCAGTGTTATGCTGGTAAATTAGTTCTCCAGGGGGTAAAAAAAAAAAAAAAGGCAGATTTCTGTGGTATACATATGCTCATCACGGCTGATTTCAAGCTGCCAAGGGTGGTGCGATCACAACATTGTTAAATATTTAACAATAGGCTCTGGCCAGTGCAGCAGCTGACACCTGTAGTCCCAGCACTTTGAGAGACCGAGGTGGGAGGATTGCATGAGGCTAGGAGTTCAATACCAGCCTTAGCAACATAGTGAGATCCCATCTCTACAAAAAAATAGAAGAATTAGCCAGGTGTGGTGGCACAAACCTGTAGTCCCAGCTACTCGGGAAGCTGAAGCAGTAGGATCACTTGAGCCTGGGAGTCTTAGGTTGCAGTGAGCTATGATGGTTCCGCTGCACTCTAGCCTGGGCAACAGAGGGAGATCGTGTCTCAAAAATAAAAAACAGGCCGGGCGCGGTGGCTCACGCCTGTAATCCTAACACTCTGGGAGGCCGAGGTGGGCGGATTGCTCAAGGTCGGGAGTTCAAAACCAGCCTGAGCGAGACCCCGTCTCTACTAAAAAAAAAATAGAAAGAAATTAATTGACCAACTAAAAGTATATATACAAAAAATTAGCCGGGCATGGTGGTGCATGCCCCAGCTACTTGGGAGGCTGAGGCAGAAGGATTGCTGGAGCCCAGGAGTTTGAGGTTGCTGTGAGCTAGGCTGACGCCACGGCACTCACTCTAGCCTGGGCAACAAAAGTGAGACTCTGTCTCAAAAAAAAAAAAAAAAAACCAACCCTCTCCCCTTCAATAAAACCAGTAGGCTCTGAGTGACTAGGACTTGGCTTGGACACAACATTGGCTGTAGGATGCTTCACCCTTGTTGTGACATGC